CGCCATGTGGTCGCCTCCGGGGCAGGCGGGAATCGAACTCATGCGGAAGTGGCTTTAGATTCTCAGTGCTGTGCTTTAACCCGCTGCGCCACCAGGGAGGGCCAGAGGATTCTTTTTTTTAATCCTAATTTATTGTTCAGCTTTCCTTGTGTTTACTTGCTCCTTTGTCTACTCTGAGGAAGCATGTTCTTTGCTTTTTTTTTTTTTATAATAGTTTATTTTTACATATTTTTGTGCATTTTCCATCTCAGATGCAATCCCCTTACTTTGCTTGTTTAACCCATTCTCATCCATGTATGTTTTCTCAGTCCTTTATCAACTTGCTTATTTTTCTTAATCTTTTCCTTTGCTTAGCGATGTTGAAGAAGTTGTTCTGACCACGTGAAGTCACCTCATTAGTTCTATTAAGTATTAACCATTTTTCTCTAACCATAATTGGCCAAGCTTGTACATTGAAGACAGTTTTTCAAAAACCATGTTTGTGTATATAATTTGTCGTGTTTACTTGCTTCAAGTAAATACGATTACTAAGCAACTTGGATTTAAACATGGAACTTGAAGGAGTTATCTTAGTTTTCCTGGTGCAGTTTTCTTTTCTTTAGACAAAATTAAGGTCTACTAAATGTTAAGTGCTTTCACAAAAATCAGTCTTTACCATTATGAGGAGGTTTTTCATTTCCTTGTACGAATGGGGAAACTCAAACTCCAAGAGCAAGTTTACTGTATTCTAGGTCATCTAGATTTCAGGACTCTGAGTACGAGACCTCATTTGACTGAACTTTCAAATGAATATGACTGTAGAATATATGATTTTTAGAAACTACATGAAACAACATTGCTTGTTTTTATTTTTGTTAACCTAAAGTTGTAAGTTTCTAAGCAAAGTTAGCAACTGAAAAGCAGTGTCTGGCACTCTCCTTGGTCTGCCTTTCAGTTAATTTTGTTCTGCTAGGTGTCATTTGTGGTGATTGCATTTGAGCCATATTGATTTTCTTACTCTAGCAGTCGGTAAAAATAGTTCTAAAAATAGTTTTTAAAAACTGTTACTTTGTTTGTAGGCTGTAATTGAGCAGTGATACTCTTTTTCATTACCTACTGAACTAGTTACAGTAATTGTAGAGTTACTCATGTCTTCTAAGGATTAATGTGATGCTTATTTACTGAAATGTCTTTCTAGCTTCGTCAGCAATTGAAGTGGTTGATATGTGAACTCTGCAGTTTATATAATCTTCCTAAACACCTGGATGTTGAGATGCTAGATCAGCCACTACCAACGGGTCAGGTAATGTAAAAATTCTCTAGTACGAAAGTACGAAAGTAAATTGTCTAAAGTAAAAGTAGTATGATTTTTCTTCTCATTATTATATTAATGAGGTTACAACTTTATTTGAAGTTAGTTTGCTTTCCTGTTGAAATGTTTTGTTGCGTTTTAGGCATTAAAAATAACCTTTTTATTTTGTGACACTGCTGGTAGTGACTATACGATCTGTAAACAATTGCCCCCTCCTACTACTACCTTTTTGTTGCCGTTAATGACCCTGTTGCCTTAAGTATTCCTCACTTCAGTTGTTAGTCTTTGCTTACTCATTGTTTTCTCCTAGAGTACCAGCTCTGTAAGCTAGGCTCATCTGTCTTCTTAAGGCCTTTAAGGTTTTATCTCCTCCAAGCAGCAGAAGTGCCCACTTGCTCATCACCAACACTGACTTTTCTGGATTTCTGGATTTACCAATTTAGACATGAATTATTGCTTTATACCATAATAGGTAATATTAATTTCTTATACTAAACACCTCACCTTCCTAAAACACTACACGTAGTCATATGAAGAAACACTATCATTAGGATTTTGTAGTATAACATTTTCTACTGAATTTCCTCTCTTGCATAGCTTTTTCTTTTGCACTGCCTGCCATGATGATGATGGTAACTCTTAGTTTAAAAAAGTTAATTTTCGATCCCCTTTTATTTTCTCAGTAGAGAATCCTTAAATTCTTTTTTAAATGCATATTTCCCTTATATTCTTTTTTTTTTTTTAATTTATTTATGCATACAGAACTGGGATATAAGCCAGACGTGCAGGGGTGGTGAGAGGCTTCACCAGAGACAGAGCAGGGAGCAGAACACGCAGATTGACAAAGTACACTGCTAAGGGGAGCAGCGGGTGGGTCAGGAGAGGTCTGCCATGCCATGTGGATCACCTCTGGGACTGGGAATCGAAATTGGACTGTGGCAGCTGTGACCAGTTTACAGTGCTGCGTCATAATCCATTGTGCTACCAGGGAGGGCCTCAACCCCTTTTCTGTGAGACCAACATCACTTTTGGAGCCTTTGGTTCTTCTGCTCCAGTCTTGGTGTAGGGTGTTTTCTGGGCTGGCTATACAGCTATTATCTTCAAATATTTTTTGTTTCCTCTGTTAGAGTAAATCAATTATTTCCTAATCTTATGTCATCTTTCTCAACTTACTCTTTCTTATCTTGCCTCAGTATATCCTCAAGTAGCATGCTAAGAAGGTATGAAGTAAAAACATGGCCAGACCACCTTAGGTTTGAATCTTGATTCTGCTTTGGGCTAATTTCCTAGTCAATATGCATCAATTTCCCCTTTGCAAAATGAGGGAAATGGTAGTAGTGCCCTGCGTGTAGTAAATGGTTAATAAATGTTAACTATTGAATAGTGTCCCCTACCCCCTACTTGACTGGCAGTTGGGTTGAACATACAATTCTAGGTTGAAAATATTCTTCTCTTGGAATTTATAAATCTGTGTTATATTTTTTAGCCAATGGTATTGCTGATTCCTGGTGCCATCTGTATTTGTGTGACTTTCTGGGTGCTTTTAGGAGTTTATCGTTTCCAGAAATATCCCAGCGGAATATTTAGCTATGGTTTTTTTTCCCCCTCCTTGCTGAGCATGGGCCTTCTTAAGCAGTGTTCTTGAATATTTTTTGTTTTTGTAGATGGGTAACTTTCATTTTAGAATGCTTACTAATGGAGTTATTTATTTTAAAAATATATTTATCTTATCATCCTTCATTCTTGTACAATGATGATTTCCCCAAGAAATTCCCACCACCAGTTCACCTGTGTACCTTTTTTGTGCTCTCCCTACCCCTGTCCTGGTCCTGCTCCTTCCTCCTCCCCTATAGAATGTCTCTGATCTATAGTTGCCTGATGATTTTGATTTTATTATAGTTAACCTTTCCCCCCCTGATTCCTTATTTGGTTCCTCTGCATTCCTCCAATAAGTGAGAACATTTGATATTTTTCTTTTTTTTTTTCTGGATTATTTCACTGAGCATAATTCCAGCTCCATCCATGTTGCTGCAAAGGGCATAGTTTATCCTTTTTGATTGCTGACTTATATTCCATTGTGTAAATATACCACACCTTCTTGACCCAGTCATCTACTTTTCGGCATTTGGGCTGTTTCCAAGTCTTATCTTTTATAAATAGCATTGCAAAAAACATAGGGGTGCAGGTATCCTTTTGAAGTAATGTTTTTGTGTCCTTTGTGTAGATCCCTAGGAGTGGAATTGCTGGATCATGTGATAGCTCCATGTTTAGTAGTCTGAGGAACCTCCACACAGCTTTCCATAGTGGTTGGACCAGTTTGCATTCCCACCAACAGTGTAGCAGAGTTCCTGTTTCTTCAAATCTTTGCAACATTTGTTGCTTCTAGTTTTTTTTTGATATGTGCCATTCTCACTGATGTGAGGTGGTATCTCATTGTGGTGTTGATTGCATTTCCCTGATTACAAGTGATGATAAACATTTTTTCATATGCCTGTTGGCCTTTGCATTTCTTCTTTGGAAAAGTGTCTTTTTAGCTCTTTTATGCATTTTTGACTGGATTGTTTTTTTGTTGAGCCTTATGACTCTTTGTAGATCTTTGAGGTCAGTCCCTTATCATTAGTATTATGTGCAAAACTTTTTCCCCAGTCAGTAGGGTGTGTCTTTGTTTTGGCTAATATCTGTTTTTCTGTACAAACTCTTTAATTTAATGTAATCCCAATTGTTTATCTTTTCCTTTATGTGCTTTACTTTAGGTGATGTTACTGAGATGTATGTCATGTACTCTTTGTCCTATTGCTCTTCTATATATATTATGGTTTCATGTCTTATGTCTGACTCTTTAATCCATTTAGAGTTGATTTTTGTGCATGGTGTGAGGTAGTAGTCTAGCTTCATTCTTTTGCATGTAGCATTCCAGTTTTCCCAGCACTGTTTAATGAACAAACTGTCTTTGTTCCACTGCATATTCTTTGCTCCTTTGTCAAATATTAGTTGCTCATAACTACGTAGGTTAATTTCTGGCCTCTCTAGTCTATTCCATTGGTCTGTGTGTCTGCTTTTGTTCCAGTACCATGCAGTTTTAATTATTGTGACTTTGTAGTATAGTTTGAAGTCTGGAAATGCAATACCTCCATTCACCTTTTTATTCAGAACAACTTTGGTTATCTGTGGTCTCTTGTGGCTCCATATGAATTTCATCAACAATTTTTTTCAATTTCTTTGAAGAATACCATTGAAATTTTTATTGGAATAGCATTGAATCTGTAACTTGCTTTTGGTAGGATGGCCATTTTGATAATTTTAAATTTTGCAATCTATGAACAGGGGTATCTTTCCATTTCTTTGTGTCTTGTTTCTTTTACAGTGTTTTATAATTTTCTTTGTAGAGGGCCATCACCTCTTTTGTTAATTTTATTCCCGTTACTGATTTTTTTGTTTGTTTCAATTTTGAAAGGAATGGTTTTCTTGATTTCTTCTTCTTCAGATTGAATGTGTGCAAATAGGGAGGCTACTGATTTTTTTGTGTTGAATTTTGGATCCTGCTGTTTTACTAAACTGACTGTTTTTATTAGTTCTGTGGAATTATTGGGGTTCTCTGTATATCATCCTATCATCTGCAAATAGTGATAGTTTTGCTTCTTCTTTCCCACTTTGGATTTTTTATGTCTTTCACTTGTCTTATTGTTCTGCTAGGACTTTTAGTATTATATTGAAAAGCAGTGGTGAAAGTACATATTGTTGTCTTGTTCCCAACTTTAAGGGAAAGGCTTTCAGCTTTTCACCATTGAGAATGACCTTAGCTTATGGGTTTGATGTATATGGACTTTATAATGTTAATTATGTTCCTTCTGTCATGAGAATTTCAAGAGCCTTTATCATAAATGGATGTGAGATTTTTGTTGAAGGCTTTCTCGACATCTATTGATATGATCACATGGCTTTTATTTTCTTTTTGTTGATGTGTGGGGTTATATTAATTGATTTTTGTATATTGAACTATCCTTGTGTTCCTGGAATAAATTGTACTTGGTCATGGTGGATTATCTTTTTGATGCATTGTTGGCTAAGATTTTACTGAGAAATTTTGTATTAGTGTTTATTAAAGAGATTGGTCTGTAGTTTTTTGTGTGCTGTTCAGTTTTGCTATTAGTGTAATGTTGGCTTCATAAAACATGTTTGGTAATTCCCTTCCTTTTCAATTTTTTGACAGAGCTTTTGTAGGAATAGGCACTAGTTTGTTTCTAAATGTTTGGTAGAATTCAAATTTTTTTTAAAGATTTATTTATTTATGCATACAGAACTGGGATGCAGGGGCAGTGAGAGGATTTACCAGAGACAGAGTGGATAGCAGAACAGGCAAATTGACAAAGTACACTGCTGAGGAGAGGTCTGCCACACCATGTGGATCACCTCCAAGGCAGGGATCAAACTCATGCTGAAGTGGCTTTAGCTTACTGCTGTATTTTGACCTGCTGGGCCACCAGGGAGGGCCAGAATTCATTTTTTTTTTTTAAAGATTTATTTATTTATTCATACAGAACTGGGGTGCAGGCCAGAGATGCGGAGGGTGAGGGGATTCACCAGGGACAGAGTGGGGTGCAGAACAGGCAGATCGACAAAGTACACTGCTGAGGGAAGCAGCCGGCAGATCAGGAGAGGTCTGCTGCTCCATGTGGATCTCCTCCAGGGATCAAACTCATGTGGAAGTGGCTTAAGCTTCTTAGTACAGTGCTTTAACCCACTGCCCACCAGGGAGGGCCCAGAATTCATTTTTTAATCCATCGGTCTTGGGCTTTTGTTTCGGGGGAGAGATTTGAGTACTGTTTCAATTTCACTGCTTAGAATTGGTCTGTTTAGGTGTTCTATTTCTTCTTTATATAGCTTTGGATGGTTGTAAAGTTGTAGGTTTTTGTCCATCTCTTCTACATTATTGAACTGTTGGCAAAGAACTGTTCATAATAATCTCTGGTTATTCTTTTGATTTCTGCTGT